TCCACCTGTAAAGAAGCCTACCTTGGGCATTGGATCCCCTCAGTCAGCTACACCTCCACCCATACCTCTTGCAACAAAGCCAAAACCTCAAGTAAGTCATCATTCTACTTGAGCCTAGGCATTGAATCAACGAGGCGAATTTCTCAGCGAAGTATAACTAGCTTCTGCATCTGATTCTAATCCGTGCTTCTTAATTGTATAATTTTCAGCTTTAGATTATTTCCAGTGCCCTAAATAATTTAAGCTGAATTTATCAACGTTCTTCATGATGCAAATTTTATTGATGCAACTACAGTCAAATTAACATGGCCACCCAAAGCGACGAACTCGAAGGGTCGGAGTGGAAGTCTTGAAACATTCGAGTATGTCAGCCATGGTCACATTAGACTTTCGGCGTATTCACAAGACACATTATTGATTCTTCTGCTCTTATTAAAACCTTTAGATTATGTTACGTTTCTTTTTTTTTCTTTTTTTTTCAAGACATTCCTTGTAGCTCAAGGAATGCCAAAACTCAGACACCGTCAAAGATTCTCATATATACAAACAATGAAAAAGTATATCAAAAGCTAAAGCTAACGATATAGCCCATAACCCAATCTACACAATCCCTCTCTGAACACAACGACCTCCCCCTCGACCTTCCCTCTTTATGGTTTGCCAAACAGCCACCTGCTTGGCCTCCCTCATCGATAAACCGCCTACCCGGTGACCGCAGCACAGCCTACAACATAGGGTGGTCCAGCAGCGGGCCCCGCAAAACATACACCTTCATCGGTGCCGTGCGGGACAACGCCACCTTCGCAACTACTATCATCCATATGACCTGGGATAGCTCAAACCCTGGCTATACTGTGAAAGGGCAACAAAGACATCTCCCACCCCCACATCCTCTCAGCTTGACGGAGTTGGAGCAATTCAGAAGGAAGTACGGAGAGGCGTTGGCTGAATGGAGTGAGGACAAAATCGGCCAGCAGGTTGGGAATGGAGAATGTTGGACCTTGGCCGCTGATGGACTTGCAGCTGTAGGTGCGCTGAGGTCACAATCATTCACCCATGGATTTCTCCTATACTCCTTTCTCCCGGAAAAATCACCCCAACCTTCACCACCGGGTGGCATCATCGCAGCAGGCGTATCGCGTGGCGACGTCGTCCAGCTTTATGAAGCACGCTTCAGGGCAAAGGATGGCAGCGAACAATGGGCGGGCATGCCTCACCATACAGCCATCATTGTGAAGGTTGAGCCGACTGGTAAACTGATTGTACTGGAACAAAATATAGGCGGTGTGTTAAAAGTGCAGGGCGGGAAGTATGACTTTGCTGATATGCGGAAGGGCGAGGTGAGGATTTATAGGCCTGTTAGTGAACAGTGGGTGGGGAAGCTGGAGCCGAAGTGGTAGTTCGTCCAGGTAGTTGTAGTGAATTTTAATGCGGATAGGTGAATGATCCTCAGAGAAAGGCATGCCGTGGTTTACCCACATGGGTTTATTGTCCTTTATGATATGAGCTTTGTATAGTTCCTCAGCATGTGAAGCTCTACTAACTTTCTTTAGGAATAATATTCTACTATCAACACCAACCATAGGTCGAATCTGGAGCGAGTACACTCCTGTCGAGGCGATCGGATATCTGACCTATTACTATAGATCATTAAAGATATATTGCTCGAGCTGAACAGAGACTTGAGCTCTACTTGCAAGTTCCAAAGAAAATTGTCTTGAAGCCCAACTAGAGGTTTCCCCTATTTTTCGCATTTTATGGACGACCGAAGAGCTTAAGAAATAGAAGTTTGAGGGAAAGAGCGGTGTCATGCAGAGGTGGGAAGAACTTTTATTGCATTGGCTTGAGATATCATAGATCCTCAAGAAATCCGAGGGATATGCAGTGTATTTCCCCTTGCCGTATATGCATAAACCCACAATGCTCGCAAAGTCGAAATCCGCTTAAACCTTCATCTCCACGAGCCCGTGCTTCCAGACGGTAACGAATGGAGTGACGCCATCCTCACGATAGTTCATGAGAACAACCCTAGAGCCAAGTCAGAGTGCGGTAAAAAATAATGTTAAAGAAAAGGAAACTCACATTCCATCGGGATCCATGGATTCGCCGACATAGAAGTCATAATCCTTGAATTTGGCAACGATCTTCTTGGCGTATGCTTGAGCGCCCTTTTGGAACTCATCAATCTTTGCCTGGTCAGCTCCCTTTTCCTTCATTGCCTCCTGAACCTTCTTCATATATGCTGCGCCGGTTAGTTGAGTGCACGAAATCTGCTCGCCTGAGTGCCTTACTTTTGAGATGGCTGAGATATGATTTCTTGTCAAATGAGGTCGATGTAAGGCGGAAAGAGTTGACCACGTTGTTGACCTGCACTGCCCCGTCCTCAACGCCTTCTTCGGCCTCCTCAGCAGATGCGTTGGCACCGGTGTCTATACCACTCGGTCAGCGTCATTCGACCGATTGCTGGGACGGATTGATACGTACCAACCTCAACCGCTCCCAAGGTGATCATTGCGCAATCGACTTCATAGACAGCCCCATCGACCTCCTTGAGATCGTATGAGTCGGAAATGATCTCATCACCAGTGAGGATATCCTATATCAATTGTCAACAAAGATATCCCCGCACAGTTGGAGTTGGGGGGGAGGTCAGAGCCCTATGCGGGGTCGCAGGATGGGTTTGTGCGAGGCTAACACACCTTGTAAATTATCATTTTGGAGGTAGATGATGATACCTGGCGTGGGTTGGTAGTTGTTAGAGAAGGCTTAAGAATAGGTAGGTGTAGATATGAAGAGGAGGGAGTCTGAATCTGCGATAGTGGGTTTGTGGAAGAAAATAATTGGCATTTGTACCCCTCCAGCCTTATCCTCTTACTGGCTAGATATTGACTAGCGCTGGTTGGGCTTAACGCTGAATCGGCCGCAAGCTAGGATATACTGAGACTAGCATCCATGGAAATATTTTGCCTTGAAAGTGAGGCATTAATATTGGCGAGCATAATCTCTTGCCGATGGTCCAGCCAATGCAAGTCTGACATAGGGCTCCCCATAGAGGACGTGAACCTTGATGATTAGATAAACGTTTTGATATCAATTGTGCCCCATTAAGAATAGAATACACAAGGTAGACATGATGTAAGCTTTAGTTGCAGCTGACTGTATCGTACTTTAAAAAAGGGGTCGATTATATAATACTTTGGAGAAATCAGTGCCCAGTAGATGATCGGCTTTGTCGGATGCAAAGCTAAACGAAATTTGATAACAGGTGAGGTGTGGCGTGCCTTTTCCGCATGCGCTCCTCTCCTTACCCAACGAGCACTGTACTTTTCTTCCTCAAATAATCTGACTCTCCTTCGTGCGCACCACGGTAACTGCTCTTTCCTCAGTCCTCTCCTTTCTTAATACCGTCATCATGGCGAACCTCACATCCGCGATCAACATGTCTGCCGCCCATGATCATGGTCTTCCGCCTCTACCCTCATATACTCTATCACCTGTCCCGCCCCTCTTGCCCTTCATCTCCGACTTTTACCTCTCTCTTCTACTTCCAGTTCTAGCATACTGGATCTTCTCGATGATGTTCCATGTCATTGATATCTACGATTTCTGGCCGCAGTACAGATTGCACACACCAGCTGAAATTCTCAAAAGGAATCACGTCTCACGGTACGAGGTGGCACGCGACGTCATTATACAACAAGTTCTACAGGTTGGGATGGGAGTTGTCTTGGGCATGACTGAGCCAGAAGATATGCGAGGGAAGGAGGATTATGATGTTGCACGCTGGGCAACCAGAGTCCGACTTGCTCAAAGAGCTCTTCCGCAGCTCCTCGGACTGCTTGGATTAAACGCTGCTGCCATTTCGCAGAATGTTTCAGGATCACACCCCATCATCGCTGCTGTTCTGGCTGGTGGGAAGTACCCCTCGGTGACAATGGGGTTTGACATTAGTGGAGCCCCGATCCCGGCGTTTGCAAGCTGGGAATTGTTTGTAGCAAAGGCTATATACTGGTATATTGTGCCAGCATTACAGTTCACCCTGGCAGTCCTCATTCTGGACACATGGCAATATTTCCTGCACCGAGCGATGCACATGAATAAGTGGTTGTACAGTAGGTTTTCCTGTGCAAGGTCAACTGGTCACTGGCTAACGAATATGCTCAGCTACGTTCCACTCCCGGCATCATCGCCTATATGTTCCTTACGCTTATGGTGCGCTATACAATCATCCATTCGAGGGGTTCCTCTTAGATACAATTGGAGCTAGTCTTGCCTACAAAGCCTCAATGATGACCGCACGCCAGGGAGTGGCTTTCTTCGCAGGCTCCAGCATCAAGACAGTCGACGACCACTGCGGATATGCCTTCCCATGGGACCCTCTGCAGCATATCACAGGTAACAATGCTGCTTATCACGATATCCATCACCAGAGCTGGGGTATCAAGACCAATTTCTCGCAACCATTTTTCACCTTCTGGGACAAGTTTCTTGGCACGATGTGGAAAGGCGACACCACGACTAGATATGAGCGAGCAAAAAAAACTGCGCAGTTCAAGGCCGATGCAGACAAAGTTGAATTGTAGGATCGCAAGTCAAGATATGTATGATATGATGAAGTTGGCCCCTTGGTCAAGAACTGACCACCTACTTGAATAGCGTTGGATTTGGGTTATGGCGTTTGGGAAGTTTGTACATTACAAAGGCACTACACTTCAGATGGTGCGGATACCTCGGTGCAGGATACCCTATAATACTAATAACAAGACGACCTCTACAATCACAGTCGCTGATATGTCATTTTTGCAAGATAGTCATTGAAAGAAAGAGAATTAAACACATATCCCTCCTCACTCTATCCAACATTCTCGCAAGTAGCTAGAAGTCCCAAGCTGCACAAGGGGAGATAAGGAACGATACATGAATAGTGCCGGAACTTGCTTCAAGCGAAGATGGGAAGCAAACGGTGAAATCAAAAAAATAGGGAGGCAAAAAAGGTAGCCTGCGCCCTACGAGATTCGAACTCGTGTATTTTCCTTGGGAAGGAAACCAGTTAACCACTACTGCAAGAGCGCCATCTGTACTATTTCGCGCCAGGTTTGATTGACATTGAGTAAAGCAAGACTTTAAAAGGACTGGATGTTGTGATGAAATTGTGGGTGAACGAACAGGTAGTTAGATGCCTGATCCGGAAAGAAGGGGACCCAACAGCTTGAACAACAGTCGTTTTAGTAGTCGCCCGGCCCTCGTTTTCAACAAACTCCGCTTCGCATGGAAAGAGATCAAAATATACAGCGGAAACCACAGGGAATTGGTTTTGCTTGAGAGCTGGTGATGGGATGGTCTGGTGGACGGTGGACTTGAATGCCGAACTCGAGCACAAGCCGGCCATTACCTGAGTATTTGGAAAACCCCTATCGTGGTAAGGTTCAAGTCAAACCTCTAAGCAACTCAATTCATAGGTAAACGCATGATCTGCGCATTCTTCTCACATCGAACATTCCCAGCGGGTACGGCAGCATTGATGTGTTTTGAATATAATGTATCATCCTATCATCCCCTGACCTACAGTGGCCAAAAGCAGCCATGCGCATGAAAATGAAAAAAAAGACGAACTAAACCGGATCGCCGGCATGCGGCTCAGTATCAGAAGGATTTAACGATGGGGGTCGGGAAAATCACAGATGACAGGCTTAAGAAAAATACAAGGGGGGTTACTATACTCTGCCTTGCTGGGCTGAGCGCTGGGAGATGAGCAGTACTTACTCACAGGACTCATAGTATGGGACAGGGCCAAGACTAAGACAGAGGTATGTAAGGGAGTGGCATGTTTTATTTATAATTATTCTGCACAACATTAGTAGAATCATCATCCAAAGACCTAAGGGGAAGGTGAGTATTGGGAGGACAAAATATCGCATGCACACACACACACATACATACGCACACGCACACGGATCCCTTAATATCTTGATTTTTCCCAAAAGTCAAGTTAGCTGACCTTGCATATGGGAGTACACACATACATAGTACAGTACATAAATACATGCATACATACTGTACAACACGTTCCTTGTACGGGACGCTCATTGGGTCTTAGGGGGATAATTGGAGGGATCGATTTCAAAATGAAGCAAACAACCAATCAAAACATGTTCCAAGGGACCTCCACTCCCTCCTCCGCTGCCCATGTCGGGCCGGTCAGGGGGGGAAGGGGAAGGAGAGGAGGAGGAAGGGGGCCGGGCGAGTAACCGAGTCACAGAACAAAAGTGAGTTTACTTGGTACATGGGACACGGGGAACATTGGCACGTCATACCTGAAACAAACATCACAAAGTATATTGATTGTTCCCCTTCTAGAGTAGAAGGCAAATGCCGTATCGTGAGGGTGTCATCAAATCCCGTTTGACGCTGGAAGGATGCAAAACTCAATTACCAGAAAAGCCTGAGGATTAGGTTAGGGTTTAGATTCAGGTCGAGGCTCGGGTTCAGATTTCAGATTCAGGAGCAGCCACCACCAAGTCCCGATAAACTTTACTGCACCGTCCAGGCCGGCTTTTCTCGAACGCGGCCTCAGCCATCGTTACTTCCCGTCATACCACCACCAACACCATCCAAAGGATAAAGGAGAAGCGTATCCCCGTAAGATATCTTCCACCAAGACAAAGAATTGTCTGTTTCTGTTAGGCCAGGGGAGATTTCAATATATCAAACCCTCTCTTAATTTGTTCTATCCGTCAAAACCTTTGCTGTACATGGCACACCCCCCTGCAGCTCAGCCTCATCCAAGCCGCTTCCGCATTGTAGTGCTCAGCTACAGCTACGCCGGTTTAATCAGGACACAATATTCAGCTAGCTACAGGTGCAATCCAAATAGCGTCCATTAGCTCCGACCACCCAGCCAAAGAGATCCGATAACACGCCTTCTCATTTTATTTACAGCTGCGGAGTGGACCAAAACCAATTCAAGCCATATGTTAAAGTCTTGTTCTTCCCGTCGCTTTGGTGGTGGATTACAAGACTTCTGACTTGGACAACGGGCGGCGAGAATTCTTCACCAACCGTGAACATTTTCCTGGCAAGCACACAGCAGCACTTCCACGCATAATCCCGCGAGCAATTTCAAGTACTGAAATTGTGATCAGAACCGTTAGGATTTGAGGGTCCGTTAAGCGCTTAGCTTTGAATGGTCGCTCACATCGAGGCGCCTATCAATCCATGCACCGTAAGCTTGACTCGCCCAGGAAACATCATAATTCTGTGAAGATTCCATAGAAGAGGTCGCTCATCAAACTTCGCGGCTATCTCAAACAAATCTGAGATATAAGCAACACCCTATTTTGGGCCACCAACGATCAACTCGTACACCTCTTTCTAGCCTAGGCATGCTACCAGCTCATCATACAAGATATCGACTTTCTTCTACTTCAACCGACAGTGATTTTGTCGACTCTGTCCCCTCTTATATTAAGTCTGTATATATTATCTTGGGCCGGACCTAAGTATCACCTCGACAAGATGGACACCACTTTAATGACCTTCCACCTGTACGTTCCCTTATCCTCCATGCCGAGTTTTGTGTACGTCTCTCTGTTTCTAGACAAAGCTTTTGAGCTAGTGCTGAAAGCTACCGTCTGAAAATTCCCAATTTCATCCACCTTGCTCTGTTGTTGTATGCGCGATTTCTCGAGTTCCTCTCCGGATTAGGAAACCCGTGGTCGCAACCATTCTTCGTCTGATCTAAGATCTTGATATTTCAGCTGAAAGTTTTTATATCATTGCATCCTGTCAATTGTGCTCTCCGCCCAGGAAGTTTTACCGCACACTTGTGTCTCTGTTGTCCACAAACGAAACTTTGCGTCACTATTGGACACTTGGAACATAATATCAGTCCTTGTCCTGATCTCTCATTTGTTTCACAATCGATCATATACTTCATTTCGCTGCCGAGTTAATTGCGTTTGTGCATGCTATCAAGTCGATACCTGATCGGCACCTGGCATATATAACCCATTTTATAGACGAGCCCAATATCCCGAATCAGTGCTCAAAATTTAAGGGGCTTGCACGTTTAGCCGACGTCGCCACCAATACCAGTAGAAAATCCCACAAATCTATTGCTTATATTAGCATTTTCTCGAATTTATCATTCTTAATCTCGATCCGCTGACGATATACCAGACAAACTTCCATATATACACATTCACTTCATCTAATCGGATCATGGGACAATTTCACGAAACGCTACTCGATGGAGCGAGATGTAAGACGGTGTAATAGCCAATGGCGTGGATGCTATAAGTTCGAAGATATCGTTTGCGATGGAGATGGAGAGACCAGTCCGAAACGAACTGGCGGCTTAAAGATGGGATCCACGTACTACTACTATGTTCGTGACTTTCAACCGAAATGAACATCAAAAGCTGATTTATAATAGTATGAGTTGGACGACGGGACTGAGACTTATGACCCTTCACTTCCATTCACCACAGCTTGCCCATATCTTCCAGGGCAACCCTTGAACCTGCTGTCAGTGCCAGTTGAGGTTCAACCTCCGAGGACTCGCAGCGCCTCAATGAACTCATTAGCTCACGACGATATTATGACAATGAACCCGGCCGACAAGTTCATGTCGCCTCGGGCTCCTCCTCCTCTACCATCAGCATTACCCAGATTGCAGACAGCACCATCAGCGCTTCTGAGAAAACGCGTAGCTCGTTCAGTCTCGCCCAGTTCGCCTAGATCGCCCTGGTCACCCAAAGCATTCTTTGGTCTTAGGCAACATCAAGACAGCAGTCGGCGGGGCCGTTCATCATCAGTCAAAACCCTGGCATCCTCTACTACAGTAGTTCCGACATATGATGGTCGTTCGGTTAACGAGAGAAAATCACATTCAGTACCACATACTCGAAATGCGTCTCCTCATTCAGTCAAGCGAAACTTGTCCAGAGACCCATCGCCTCTCAGGCAAGTCACCACACAGGAAATCAGTAACTACAACTCCACCGTCTTGGGCATTCCGGACGAGATTGAGGAGGACGAAGAGGATGATGACAATTTTGCTTCAGAGGTCAATCGTATGTCTTCCTTGACACAAAGCATTCTCACACCTCTAGCGCCTCCGCCTGGTAACTTGCCATATTACCCATCATCGGCCAGACCAACTACATCTAAAGACCATTCAAAACCACTTCCTCTGCTTCCTGGGCAACTCGAGGTTAATCTTCATCCTCAGCCTCTCCGCCTGCGGAACCAAACGTTGTCTGGGAACCTGTTCGATCCTGCGGCAGTTACGGGATCTCGCTTCTCCATGTCCACAATTTCTACCACCAGGACATCGCCAACCGATAGCCATTTCTCCTTTAGTGATTCTCCATCGCTTCTGGAGCCCAGTGAAGATTTGGACTCATCTGTGGACCTTGGAAGTGGAGATGAATCTACATATGGCCCTGTAGCAGATGAAGATAACCCATTTAATGGTTACAGCTTACCAGGGTCTGAGCATTCTTCCCGTCAAACTGTTTCCAAGGAGGAGGCAATCTCGCCGTTAACACAGGCATCGAGTAGAGCGACATTTGGTGGTGTAGCACCCTTCTCTCCTAGTGCTTTGGTACATGATGCGAATATCAGCGCATTGCAGGATCTGCTCAAGGATCTCGGTTACCTTGGGGAAGCGATCACTGGGAAGTGAACTGACACAAATAAGAAATGAAACGAGTGTAAATGAGTGATAAAAAGTGCTTGTGCATTGCGGCTCGGACTGGAAGCCATATTTAGCATCTTTGATAGATTTTGGGATCATTTAGCGTGGAGTTCCGGCATGTATATACGGGGATAAGGAGTTGTTAGAGTTGACGCTATCGTTTTCAAAATTGGGAGATCATGGGTTAGCGATGTACATGATGGATGCTGTGATATCTAGATGGTAATGAGATTACGATTAGCCATGTACCACGAGGTTGCTGAATGAGGGAATGCTCATAGATTTACGGGACGCAGTTTAGCCAAATGCAAAGATGCGAGGGGGCAATGGATGCATCTCCCTTTCTCTAAATATTTATGCCGATATACGAAA